AATGAATTTTCTAGAATACCGGTATTTACAAAAAATATCCATCTGTTATGATAAATTGATACAAGTCATTGTGCAAAAGATAGAGACTTAATGTTGAATAGTTGAAGAAAATTAAATAGTTAACAATAAGTTGCGCCACTAATTGTTGACCGCACTAGATCTATAGGTATCTTCATTGTTTTGGGACATGGGTTTTTAATTATTCTTATGTTCATGATAAGTGATTCAACCCAAGAGGTTGTAAATAGTACGATTTAACCTTTTTGCTTCCCGCCACACCTCCAAAGATGAATCTTTGACGTCATGTTGGCACAGTGGTCTTTTACGTACCGTGCTCGTTCTTGACGCGCGATATTTCACAACGCGTTTCACTTTCAAACTTTCAAAAAGTATTCAAATATCATTTTGAAATTGTTTCTTGCTGTCAGAAATTGAGTTGCTTGAACGTGTTTCGATTTGCAGGCGAATTTCTGAGGTCACTTTCGAGGGCGTTCCCGGGAAGTTTTACATACATTGAAAGTTGCAGCGCTCAAACCAACGCAATGAAGACTTACTCTTAAAGGTGTCGTGGGTTCTAAATAGTACATAGAAAGATCGGATGATGGAAATGATCTTGAAGCAAACGAAAATCATAACGATTTGAATGGGGTTACTATGGCGGTTGACGATAAAGCACAACCGTTAGATTTGCTAAAGGGGGCTCGCGTGGCCTAGTGGTTAAGGTGTTGGCCTCTCATTCAAAGATACCGGTTTCGAATCCGCGCTGCGACCGAAAATTGTTCTTCTCTAAAATTGTCTCCGTTCCCCTCCTTTCCTGCTCTCCAGCAATGTTCTGTCGTCTGCTATTGTCTCTTCTTTCTGCCCCTACCCCCTCACCTCCTTTGCCCCCTCCTCTGGGCTTCTGACTCTTTCTGCAGCCTTTCTACTGCTACTCCTTGGCTTCTTCTTACTGCTGTCTTTCAGCCACACAGCTGATCTTCTGATAGGACAGATCTACACCTAGCCTTCTCGGACAAGGGCGAAAAATCTCGGAGGACCGTGTGCATGTTAAAGATCCCCTGGTGATCTAAAATCGACAAAATTAGGCTTCTTCCGCCACCCTGGCAAAATTCAAAATTTCCTAACAAACTGAAAAAGTTTAATGTGTCCCACGCGCTCATTTGACCTTATGTAGTTGCGTGCGCCAAAAAACATTTACCCCCCCCCCCCCCCCCCCCAAAAAAAAAATTGCTAAAGAAGCGACCCATAGTGAATCGAGTATACGACATGAGATTAGATTGCATGCACAGACATTGCTGATGAGAGGATGGATTATATGACTGGCGGGGGTGTTGATATTACGATATGAAGACAGCAGCTGTAGCTGTAGAACTGTAAGGGAGAGTATAGCAAGCGGAAAAATGAACAAGAATAAGTATAGGGATTAGAAGATAAAAATGCGGTGGGCTTGAAACACAAATAAGTTTACCCGCGTTTCTCGGTTCACTGACAATCGGAGGAACCAACCAAAACAACCGTGTGCATTAGATATACTGACTGGTCATTACAGAAGAGTTGATAGACTCTTAAAAAACTGAAACAAAACGATATGGAGGGGAATGAATCAAAGACCTGTAAACCTTGGCAAGCTGTTTACGTTGCAAAACCAGGAAACCAGATAGACTTGTAGATATTGAATGATTCTTTGTTATGTATTTTCGCTCATATGGGTAGGCCTATAGCCGGCCTCTTAAATTACCTAATAGGTCTAGCTGGTGTTGATAGGGGTGTTAAACATACACCATTTAACGTCAAAATACTGACTCTCCATGGCCATGAATTTTAAGCCCAGGTTTGCACTCATCTTTCTGCTGAATGATAACAATCATATAAAGAAAATGTTGATTGACTGGTCTCACTTCTCGCTTCCCTTTACAAACAACACACCGTCAGTGCACCACGGAGAGTTTATTATGACATTTTAAAGATTAAGCCATTTAATTTACGCGGTATCTACAAAGAAAAGTTCCCAAAACTGTGAAAACAATAACAGGACGTTGTATTGATGAAACCATGGTGTTTTTCAAAGACCATTCCCGATTCGAGGTTTATCTGAAGGATGAACCCACCAAGGAAGAATTCAAACTTAGTGAAGCTCGCGAGAGAAAATCAGGTTACGTCTACCCCTTCGAGATGTTCTGTAAATTATGTAACTGTAAGTTTGATGGCACCACTCTTGAAAAAGGGTCACAGGCTCCATCTAAACCTCTCACTTGCAAAAGTTTACTTAGTTGAGTGGGTCTATTTTTAAAAGAAAATTCTAATATCTTTCGGTAAGCGAAAAGGTTGGGGGGGGGGGGGGAGGCTCTCATGGCCTAAGAGGTTAAGATGTTCGCCTTTCATTCAAAAGTCCCTGGTTCTCATCCGGTTAGCGACGGAACAATGTTCTTCACTAAAATTGTCTCCTTTCACCTCCTCTCCTGCTCTCTAGCAATGATCTTTCTTCTGCTTTCTTTTCCACTTTCTGCACCCACCCGCTCACCTTTTTTCCCCCTCCTCTAGGCCCCGGACGCATTCTGCAGCATTTCTACTGCTTCTCATGTGCTCCTTCTTACTGCTGTCTTTCAGTAACACCTCTGATCTCATGGTAGGTAAGATCTACACGTTAAAGATCCCTCGATGGTCCAAAATCGAAAAGAGGAGGCTTCGGCCGCCACCCAAGCAAAATTCAAAATTTCCTACCAAATAAAATTGTTCAATGTGTCCCTCGCGCTCATTTGGCATTATGTAATTGCAGGCGCCGTAAAACACTTGGGGGAAAAAAAGGTAAGTTTTCCTTTTCAGAAAATGTTAGCTTTGCAGATATATTCCACGATTCAATTCGTTTTTCTTTTTGTATCGAAATTTTAAGTTTAAAATAAGGAGGCCCTGAAAGAGGAGCAGAAACTCAGCAGTTTTTGGAAGTGTATGCCCTATATAAACCAACCTTGCTGTTCAATAGGTGAAGGTATTGACTCAGGACTTAACATACGACACAATGCTACACACAGCACGTGTATTTATTGTCTTTTTTTCTCCAAAAACGAAACTCTATTGTCTTTTTTTCTCCAAAAACGAAACTTGAATCTCCGTATGCTATCTTGAGTGAGAGAAGCGAAAAGCTGAAGAGTCCAAGGGGCTCGACTGTAATTAGTTCTACATGTATATTATGACGTACAAACAATTAAATATTACGCTTCCTCAATGGCTGTGAAAGCCTTAACGGAAATTGTTTTCCTCCTAGACTAGAGAGATTTAAACTTCTCTGTAAATTGCCTGATTTAGTAGGTTTGAAAGTGGAAGTTTCAGTAGGACAAGTGCAGGTGCCCAAGAGGGGCCAAGGAAGATGGCTCTTTTTCTTCAAAACCTTGATTCGTCATTTATTGCTGGTGCCCATTCCAAAGAAAAAAAAAACAACAACATTCTTGTACCCTGCGTAGAGTCTTTGGAGTGCTACCTGGATTACCTGTGAACCAGACTATAATAATCAGTACTGAAGGCTTCACTGTTAACTCAGTGATGCCCTCTGTTCATCTTTTTTTTCTGCACCCCTTTCTACTCTCTTTCACTACTCCTTGCAGAATAGTCTTTTCAAAACCAAACTTGTAATATTCAAATATCATTCCCAATTCCATTTCATTGCCGTGGTTTGGAGATCTTCATGGGGCTTTTTGTTGATCGGTCAGGGGGGAGCTATGTCAAATAGAACAAAGATGTCAGGAAGATGCAGGAAAAACAGGACTGACAAACCCACAGAATTGTTTAAAGTTACACAGAAAAACAGTAACTGTTGATTTTAATAGTAAAAGAAAAGCACTGGCTAATTGTGTCAAGGTAGAAATACATTCAGGAATCTAACTCAAGCGTGCAATAACAAAGAGCTTGACCACTACACCACCAAAGATCGTACACAACACGATAGTTCACTCAGCTAAACAAAAGTGTCCGCGAAAGTCCGCGCATTGGTACAGATGGCGCTGCAATCTTTTTTTTTTTTTTTTGAAGCCCTCTTTCGTTTATAAAGAAGAAGAATAGGAATAGCAAAGTTTGCTAATTTCGATGTTATTATTTTTCACACAAGTAGGGTGACTCTGTCCACACTTTTCCGAAGGGAGCGTCCGCAAATTTTTAGGACACCTTTTAAAGTGACGATAGCTTAATATGACGAATATACGAAAGCGACAGGCAAATTTCATTGGACACACAATGTGGAAAGAAGCTTTAGAGAATATTGTAACAAAAAGCAAGTTTGATGGAAAGAGAGGCAGAGGCAGACAGAGGGAAAAGATGCTGGACCAGCTGACAACATGTCTGGGAGCAGCAAGGACAACATACACCATTGCTACAACGCAAGACAGATGGAAGTGGATATCCATGATGATCGCCCACGCCAGTCGGCAAGGCACCTGATGATGATGATTTTTAAGTGGCTCAAAGAGAGGAGTGAATTATCTTGTTTTTGTATGATCTTTGACCCACTAATGTAAGGAGAGAGAGAGAGAGAGAGAGAGAGAGAGAGAGAGAGAGAGAGAGAGAGAGAAAGAAACGTTGTCAATCTTTCCACTTCAAATATCTGTACTTCAAGGAACATAAAGCTAGCTTCAAAGAGAGGGAGAAACCCCCCTCTGTTGTTCACTTTATCGAAGCATGTCAGGTGTAGACAATTCAGGTGAACAAATTTCACCCTCATTTTCGTTTGTTCGTTGTTGTTGTTGTTTGGGAGGGGGGGGGTTAAGTTTTTTGAGGCGCTTGCAAATGCATAATTAATTTGGAATTGTGCCCATGTGGTGGCCGAAACCTACTTTTATTGATTTCAGAACCACCAAAGGATCTTTAACGTGCACGATATCAATAAGAATGGGCAGAAGGGTGGGGAAGGGGGTAGAAAGTGGAACGATACCAGACGACTGAACATGATTAGAGATCAGCGAAGGAAATTAGGATATTTTTCTTCAGAGCAGAAGCTTTTCCGCTGCTCTCAGGTTTCGAACAGGGGGCCTATTGAATGAGAGCCGAATCCCTTACTTTTAGACCACGAGAACCCCTATTACTTTTCCTTTAAGAGAAAGTTGATGATGTATTGGAACTGTTTGGTAACATTGAGACTTATTCGCGAGAAAACACCCTAAAAGTACAAAGGGTCAATTGTGTCAAGAAACTTGTTCTTAAGCTGCTAGATAAAGTGATGGAGTCCAGTAAACTGACCGTGTTAATTCATAACATTCCTGACTTTGACAAAGGCGTGTTCTCAAAGAGCGTAGGTACGCTGAAGGCAACACCACCGGATACAGAACCTTTTGGCGGCAGTGGAACATGCGCACAGGAGTGGCGTGCACAGCCGAGTTGTCGGTACTGAACAGAAAATACAAAAAGAAATTGACTAATAGTATGTACTTGGGCTCAAACAGCCAAGTTACACTTTCCTGGCTGTTTTGAGGTGTACAACTCAAAACTGAACTTAAAGAAGTTGTTGACTGTAACGTTTCTTGAGTATGTTGAGCTGTTCATAAAGCTGCTCCCAACAGCACATTTTTACTCGTTCAGTTGAATTTTCTAATAATTCCAGTTACATTTTATTTATCCCGGATCACGCCTGTCTGAACAGGCACCATGATCATTGAAAAAACGCCAATAAACTTTATAACGCGGTAAAAAATTCATGGCACAACTTGTCTTCAAATACCTCTTTAGAAGTCAATTAGTGTCCCCCATACTTTGCACAGCTGTTTATATCAATTTGTCTAACTAAATCATAATATTTTCCACAATATTTGGCGTTAAATTAAAAACCGTTCTTCATAAACTAGTGTGAAATATTATAATTCCCCGTCTTGCGAAAAATGGGATTGTTCACTGCGCTTCCCTTTTTGTCACACACAGTTTGCATAATGGCCTACGTCACTGCTAACGAATGACTGTTTTGACAAAGATTTGAACTTTCCTTTGAAATCAAATACAAAAGACTGATTTAAAATAGTGGAGATTTATTTCTTTGAAAATACCACAAAATTGCCGGTATCCAGGGGATATTGCACATAAAATAATGGCGTTCTTATGGAAGGTGCATCGTGAAAACTGCATTAGGTAAAAAGGTTAAATCCCCCTCCCCTCTTCCGTGCATTTTATAAATTCCTATCTCTGTTCGGGGGGAGGGGGGGGGGTAACCATCGTACCTGCCCACCTTTGCTCATTATTTTTGTTTTCTCTTCATTTAATTAACACTGCGATGATAGAACACCTTTTTTAATCGACTTCCTCCTTGATTGACTAACCAAGCCTATCTCCCCTCCCGATTCTTCGTCTTTCTTTCTCCACCCCACCCTTTAAGAACAATAACCCCACCGCCCCAAGGAGTATTGTTACCATACACGGGCAACTCCCTCCCTTTTCCAACCCGGGCTCTCGTCCAGTCAGGCCTGACCAGGCTACTGCAGGTCTCCTCCCCTCCTTCTGCCTCTTCTCTCCCCTCTCCCTTCTTTAGCCAACCACTGCTAAGAACAACAACAAAAAACCAACATGGGAATGTTCAGCCTCCCCCTTATTATGTGTGTTTTTTATTTCCACTCGAGCGCTGACATAATAGTTAACATGTGGTTACCTTCGGTCGTCACCACCCTTTAACTGCTTCACTACCGTGTACCGGATTTACAGATTGCAAGCAAGAAAAGTCGTATTAACCGCCCCAAAGAACAGAATATTACCTCCTATCACTGATCATCATTATTATAATACAACTTTTCAAAGTAAAAGTTTAGTCCAATAAAAACTTTGTGGGTATTATGAAGCTCTAGTGCCATTCGCATTGTCTCAAAACTATCCTGACTCTGAGCCAGTCTGGATGTTCAAGGGTTAACAACGAAGACAGCGTAATCCCAGCCTGAGGCTGTGAAGTGGTGTGGAGGTTGGGGTTGTGGGTCTTTGCGTAACAATTTTAAGGTGTTAACGGGAAACATAATACGGCGGTTTAATAATTTGTAAGATCAAACGATTGGACCTAGTTCAAAAGTAAACACATCGAGTGACCAGGCGCCGTACCCTCTTTGTAACATAGAGGCGACAGACACGTGGTTAAAAACTTGACTGGTATAAAGAAAACCCAATGAAATTCATACAAGTCGGGTATATATATATCGTCAGTTTAGAGACCGGACACCAGTTGCTCACATCGTTGTACCTGTGGTTTGTTTGAGAATTGTTGGAGAGTCATACAGTAGCTGGAAGAGAACGTGGCGTGCATGCTTTTGTGTCCTGTATTCTGGTTTTGCTGTCGAATTTTGGTAAGTAATGAGTAAAATGTGTTATAACTTGTTCACTTTCGGTTGTTCGTGTTGAAAAGATTCTAGCAGATAATTATTTATTAATTTACCTTGGGGCATAAAACATTAAAGAAAACGTGCCAGAACCTTACTTTCTAGTAACCTTCAATAATGTGCTTTAAAATTATGTTGATCATCCAACCTTCAGACTCGCAAGCAAAGACCTAACAAGATTAATAAGAGCAATGTGTTTTTACCGTGTTTCAACAGCTGACAGATGAAAGTGAACAAGTTATAAGTTGTTAGTTATATACTCTCATAAACCATGTGACTGCTTGGAAATATATTTTTGGTTGTTGTTGTTGTTGCTTCTATTGTATACTGTTGGGAATTACGATTAATTGAATGATGATGATGATGATGATGATGATGATGATGATGATGATGATGATGATGATGATGATGATGATGATGATGATGATGATGATGATGATGATGATGATGATGATGATGATGACGCATTTTACCAGACCCCAATCTCGGCAATTTCCTCATGCTCACTAAAGCATTAACACCCATGTCCTCTCCTCCTTAAAAAACTGTGTGCCCTGGTCCTTGTCAAAAACCAAGATGTAAAACATGTGCATACATGACAGTGACCAACTATGTTGAGGCCCCAATATTTAAAAAAAAAATCTTTCTCACAGCATCACCTGTAAAACGAGCATCACCTGTAAAACGAAAAACGACATTTACCTAATTTCATGTAAAATCTGTCCAGCCCAACATGTAGGTCAAACTACCACCACCTTGAGAGCTAGATTTAATAACCGTAGATATTCAGTATAAAAATATTTCTGCACGCCAGTTGGCCAACATGCCGACATGCCAACAGCCTTGGCCACAATGGAGCCTTCAATTTGCAATTTCAATGCATTGAGATAAACCAAAAACCTACTAAAGAAAAACCCGTTCAAAGAGAATTAATGGGAAACTGGAACTTGGGTTCTCATCAAATTTTCACTGTCTAAAACATCGAGGAGCTACATTTCAAAGACAGTGAAATTACCACGTAAATACAACTCATCCCTTGCATTCCAGTAACCCCATTCCCTTCCTCCCCCTGCCCGAGGACAGCGCTACTGACTGAAGTGTTTTTAAGTCATTCCCAAAGGAGGGATATTGACAAGTTCTATGCACAGTAGAATTGTAAATGGGCTGATTTATCAATGATGTGCTTATACTGTGCCGGAACAACTTAGGGGGAACTGCTGCTTTTTCTTTCCTCATACTTACTATCGTTATTTTTCTTCTTCTTCTTTTGTATGTTTGTCTTTCTCTTGTGAACTGCTATTTCTGGGGGGCCTTTATAGTCGAAGCAAACTTTGTGTTTTTGAGGCGAGAGAGGGGAACAGAGTAAGCCTGATTCCCTTTCTCTGTTGACATCCACCCCTTGGTGCTCATATGACCTTATGCAGTTGCAAGTGCCGTAAAACTTTACTAAAGGAAAAACAAAAGTACCCCCTCCCCTGCCTTTCATGTTTCATTCTGCTAATTGTGTATAAGAGTTCCCGACATGATTGACATTTAAAGATATTTAAAGATTAATTTACTCATTTGGATGCATGCTGTTGCTCCTCCTCCTCCTCCTCCTCCTCCTCCTCCTCCTCCTCCTCCTCCAACTACTACTACTACTACTACTACTACTACTACTACTACTACTACTACTACTACTACTACTACTACTACTACTACTACTACTACTACTACTACTACTACTACTACTACTACTACTACTACTACTACTACTACTACTACTACTACTACTACTACTACTACTACTACTACTACTACTACTACTACTACTACTACTACTACTACTACAACTACTGCTGCTGCTGCTGCTGCTGCTGCTGCTGCTGCTCCTATTACGTATTATCTCAATGATAATCTTTATCATAGTGCAGTAAAAATTCGTGACACAACTAATCCCCGAAAAACTTTTTAACGGGTAAAACTGATATTGCCTCATCTCATGTGGTGTATACCTTTTAAGATCTGTAGAAATGATCCATTGAGATTTTCGGAGGAACTTTAAAGAATAATTAAAGCTTACAGGTGTTTACAAAAAAGTTGATATGTTAAGACAAATTAGTATAGGTCCTTGTGCAGACGCTGGAGAATTCATGTTTGATGGTTGAAGAAATAGTTGACAAAAAGTTGTAAAACGAATTTTTGAAGCACTGTAATAAAATGATTGGAGGGTACGCCTGCATGTCCATTAATTTGAACGACTGTTAACAACAGTTTCTCCCTTTCTTTGACCTTTCAAATATATTTTTTCTCACACGCACCATCGCCCATCTTGCTTTAAGTGGACGTAATATTTCCATAGTGTTGTTATCATTAAACGATGATGATGATGATGATGATGATGATGATGATGATGATGATGATGATGATGATACCGCTCTGCCCTTGGCAGTGGTTGCTCTAAAACAACCCGGAAATTTATCACTGATCTCAACAAGGCGCATCAAATTTACTTATTCCAGACAATGAAAGTCCACTTCCTTCCTGGACATGTCCCTTCTCATTGCAGATAACAAAGTTGAGATAGACCTGTATAAAAAAGAACTACCGAGTCTAATCGTTACCTCCCACCGTGGTCAAACCACCCCAAACATTATATTCCGTTCTGTGGTCTGGAGTGGTGCCCTTAGACTCCACCGAAATTTGCTCCCTTGAAATTTTTATAAACAACGGATAGAGGTGTTCACAATCAGCCTTGTTCACAGCAGGTGCCGGAAATGTTTTATAACTCCCATTATCGAGAAAGTCAGCGAACTGAATCGCACAAACCTTCTGACCTACAAAGCCCTTACTCCCAAACAGAAAAGACAATTTTTCATCACAATTCATCACCACCAACTACCCAATGTACATGAAAATCCACGGCTAAAATTGTTTAAAGCCTCCATTTAAAAAAAAAAGATATTTCTCAAAGCATCACCTGTGGAACGAAAAACGTCATTTCCCTCATCTCATGTAAAGTCTGTCCAGCCCAATTCGTTGGTCAAACTACCATCACCCTGAGAGGTAGATTCAATAACAAATACCCAAACACCACATGGGGGCTGCTTCCAAAGGATGATGTTGTTAGTGTTATGAAACCCTAATCACGTTCTACTTTCATACTTTTGAGAAGGATGGGGTTAAGATCTATGCCTCAATGTCTGTTGTTAAAAAAGACATCATGGGCCCAGGCGATCAAAACAAAAGTACTTTTTTTTTTACAGTAAATAATCGAGTCTATAATGTTTTTACGCTTTTCTCACCCATGTCAAATGAGTATTAAGTACTCTAAAAAGTATTTCATGCTATAAAAACGACAGTTTAGTGATTCAATTAGTGTTACCAGCATCCACTTTAAAAGAACGAAAATTAATATTTTTCCAGACCGTTTGGTAGATTTCTCCTTTTCTTTTTGTCTCCCCCCCCCCCCAACTATAGACTATGTCTTTGTTTATTAGAAAAAAATCCAATAACATTTGACCATGGTCCCCAAAGTAAGATTGAAGGATTGACTCAACATCAGAAAAATCTCACCATCGGCCTGCGCCACGAGTTTCTTGTGTTGCCAAGACATTTAACCTCAACAGAAAAACTCACGTGGAAGAAATAAGAAAAGAAGATATTACGCTACATTAATCCAGATGAGGAAATTTGGGGCTACAATGGCAAACCGACAGACATAAATACACAAACACACAAACGTAAACACAAAGAATACCAAAGACACAATATCACACCAATACAGAACTATTTCATAAACATATAACTGCTGGCCACCACTGTGCAGCGCACTGCTTTTTATTATTATCATCTTTTTTTTTTGTAGCTGCAATTGTCATGTCTTGCTAAAGGACAGACCCTACTGACCACCCATCTAAACCCCGTGTCACCGAAACTAACTTGTTTGACATTATTTGTCAGTCTGAACTCACTACACACTCGCCCCTGGAGCTACAGAAGAAACGCGCGGAGCATGCCAGTGGCTCGATTTCTCCGATATTGAATGAAACCTACTGTCTTTCTTAAGTGACAATGATCAATAAATGTCATAAGACCTACAGCTCCTGGTAGACACCGGCCTTTAATTTCATTTGAAAAAAAATGGAAAAAAAAATCTACCACGTGGTCGTGAAAATTGTCTTTTTATAATATAACGAACTTGTTTAACTATTTAGTATAACTGACTAAAAGGAAAAGCCTTAAAATGCTACATTTTATACTCAGTTAGAAAGCGATATTTTTTTCTGAATCGGCAGTATATTAAATAAGTATCACTCCACCAGTCGGTGAGCTTACAAGTTATCGGTATCTGCAGTCGTCACGGATCCCGAGACATTATTATGATCGTCGGGCAAGGAAAAAGTCCGGAAAACCTTGCCCGTCGTTCATATAATTCCACTAGAAAAATCATCAACAATGTAATGCCTAAGATATTTTTAAACTGCGAATATGCTCAATATACAATACAATAGGACCATTATAAACGGCATTGCTTCTAACGATGACTCAGACATAACGGGCAATGAAACTTTCGTATTACGTGTCGGAAATCAGAACTGATGAGTGGGGAAGACAAGACTTAGTTTTAAACACAGATAAAGTTATATCAAGTCTACCTCATGAGACCGCGATCGGACTAAAATAATATCCGGAGACCGAAAAGCTCGAAGAAACAAAACTAACAAAAATATGAATAAATGAATACAAAATTTGATGAATGAATGAATGAATGAATGAATGAATGAATGAATGAATGAATGAATGAATGAATGAATGAATGAATGAATGAATGAATGTGGCGTCGGTGGCCTAGTGGTTAGGCTCTCGGACTCGCAACCGTAAGGTCGTGGGTTCGAATCCCGTCAGAGGCCCGACGTTGTGTCCTTGGGAAAGGCACTTTACACGAATTTTCCTCACTTCACCCAGGTGGGAATGGGTACCCGACTATAGACAGTGAAAGATCTTGTCAGTTTGTTAGTGTTTGAGCGCTTAATCAGCTGCTTGCACTGTATTCTTCCCGGGAAGCTGAGAATGTTTCGGAGTGTTCTAATGGTCTGCTGTGGTAATAATATAGTGTAAAGCGCATAGAGCCTGCTGTTGAGCGGGGATATGCGCTATACAAATGCTATTTATTATTATTATTATTATTATTATTATTATTATTATTATTATTATTATTATTATTATTATTATTATTATTATTATTATTATTATATTATTATTATTATTATTATTATTATTGTCCGCTGTTTTTAACAGCAATATTTGCTTTCACAGCTCCCGCTCCAGCTCCATCACTAGAACCGTCAAGAAAATGTTCTTTTGAATTCCAAATGTAACTTTGCTTATTGCTTATTCACATCTTTGAAATCAGAATTAACTGAAGTTTGACTTTTAAATTTGATGAATTAGTTGACTGGTTTTCTCTTGTTACAACAAAGAGAAGTAAAGTTTCGTTGAATTAAAGTCATTCCAGAACCCTCTCATTCTAGAACGGCTGAAAAAAAATTAATGTTGATCGTTTCTATAGCGCCCACTCGAATGTAAACACAGCTCAAGGCGCTTTACATTAATCATTTACGAAAATGATATGCACACACACACATACACACACACACACACACACACACACACACACACACACATACACACATACACACACACACACAAACTCATACACTTATATACACACACACGCACGTGTGCGCACACACACATTACACGCAAACACGAGCAAACACTCGTACACACACATACACATACATACACATTCTCTCTCTCTCTCTCTCTCTCTCTCTCTCTCTCTCTCTCTCACACACACACACACACACACACACACACACACACACACACACACTCATACTCACACACCTACTTGCTAACCATACGCACACGTTTACACATCGTTACGAAATGAGACACATACAAATACATAATAAAATAATATGCACAATGCAATTCGCTGGATAACAAAATACATGTACATAATATTTGGGTACATAATCATTTGCATTACATTGTACTGAACATGAATCTTTTGACATAAAAATGATTTCATAAATTAATTAATACACTTTTCCTACCGTGAGGCTCGCGTACGTTGTCTCGCTGGACCGAGAACCACAAATTACAGCTCAAGTGGCTAGCTATCTATTCCAATCCAGTAATGAAACGACACAAAATTCTCAGCCGATCCACGTTTTCGAAATAATAGAATAGACTTCCTGTTATCGAATATGAAAGATAGTATATCACTGACAGATTATTTTTTAAAATTATTTTTTTGGGGGGAGGTCATTTCTGCGCTTTTTTTCTGTCCCCTTCAAAACGTAAATAATTAAAATAAAAGTGCTCCCCTGACTTCAGTTACTGTATGTCTCATATTTTTACTTTTTCAATAGGTACACATACATGACTTTCAGCATTTCGTTGCATTACTTGAGGCAACCTACCTGGGAAGTTTGAATCATGCTGTTGCTGTACATTACATTTTTAGTTATGACTTTTCGAAACTGAAAAATTGTTGTTTCATATGACACCTTTAATATTGCACAATCACTTTCAGAAACCCCAAACTAATTTAATTGGAATAAATCTTCTATACTGTAGCACCCTCGGATGTATCTTTTTCAAACTTCAGTTTGATGGACCATATAATATGGTTTGTGTGTGTTTAGTTGGATGTTTGACATTTTCTTTTGGTGGGTAGGGGCGTAAAAGTAGGTCAGGGAAAAGCCCTGTGCCAGTGGTGGATTTTGGCCTGGTGGGAAAATTTAAGCGTGTCTTTAAGTTTGTTTTAATTTTAGACTCAGATAATGTCTCAGGGGTTAGGGAAGAGAGTTCCAAACTTATGGAACATGGTAGGCAAACGATTTTTCAGCTTTAAAAAAATAAAAAATTTACCTCCTTTTCGAGGAACTCTTAAAAGATCTAACTGATCGTCTGGTCTTACTGATCTAGATGGAACTTAAGTCTGGATGAGATCACTAAGATATGAGGGAGGTTTGTTACTGACACATTTATGACATAATATTACAATTATGTATGATATTCTAGCTAAATTTGTACAGATCTATGGATTTACATCTGCCATACACACATATTTCACTTTTTCTAATTACCCCCCCCCCCCCAAAAAAAAAAAAAAGAACATGTTTTAGTAATTGACATTTCCGAACTCTCACCTTCTTTATCAACCGCTCTGTGAGCCTTTTAATTTTAAGGAGGAATACCATTTAATTAATGCTGATTTTGAAGTCTTTTAATTCCTAACCTTCCTTCTTCTATGTCTAACTATAAAACTTTTATCTGACTGTTTTCATGTTCCACAAATTGTGTTTTTTTTTTAATAATGTCGTGGACAATCTCGAGCAATACTGATTCTGGCAGCGATAATGCTTGCATCGCATAGCTCATTTGGGAAGAAGGAATTGTTTTAACCCAAATATTTTCACATGTATGAAAGATCTCTTTTTGACCACCTGATAATTGTGTAGTATATTTTTTAGTTTGTCTTCCCGATTGTCAAAGATTAGAGATGCTTTAAGGACTAACTGAAAAAATTCACAGAATCTTTTTTTTTTTTCTTCTCAGGTCCCGACAGAGTGAGGTCTTCCTTTGGCTTAAGTTTATTATTTCTACCCGACGTCGCAGTGACAGTCATTGCCTGGTTAAGAAACCTATGATCGAGGCCTTTGATTTGGGACATTTTTTCCAGCATTTGTCAACTTCTTGAGTGTTGTTTTCCCGTTGTTGGAATAGCAAGAGTCTGAACCAGCCATGGCAACATCTGTTGATAGCAGTAGATCCTTCGATTCTAGTTCAAGTGAACTGACAGGAAAGCACAACCAAGTAAAACAAATGACGTTTGCAAATATGTGTGAGCGTTACGAACGCACAGGAAAAGAACTCGGCAGTGGATCCTACGGTTCTGTTGTTACTTTCCGGAACCGGAAATCAGGGGTGGAGTATGCTGTAAAAATAATCAAGAATTGCGATTATAGCAGCCGAAGGGAAGTTCTAAAAGAGATTAACATCTGCCAACGATACAACAATTGTGCAAACATTATCAAACTTGTAGAGTTCTGCGAGATTGATGACATGTTTTACCTAGTTTTTGAGAAGATGGGAGGAGGAGACCTAAGAGGGATTTTGGAATCACGTGATTGTCTTCGTCTGAGTGAGACAGAATCGTCTAAAGTTATGAACGCCCTGACAAAAGCCCTCCTGATTCTTCATAAAGATGGTGTGGCCCACCGGGACATAAAATCTGAAAACATTTTGTGCAAAAAGTCAGGAGAGGTCACACCACTAGTGTTGTGTGACCTCGGGCTTGCCACTGACCTCACATCTCGGCGTGAACTCTCAAAAGTGGACAAAACTAAGACTACTCTGACGTCACCGGTCGGCACCATTCTGTACATGGCGCCAGAGGTCGTCGATTTAATGTACGATGATTCTAGGCCGCCCTACGACACCAGCTGCGACATGTGGAGTCTTGGTGTTCTGCTGTACGAAATGCTGTTTGGCGTGATGCCCTTTCAACGCGGCTGTGATGCTCACCTTGATTCCACAGATTTCTCCTGCCAAGACTGCGAGACCGTCTTGCACGAGGACATCCTTAATGGGGACTTTTCCTTTCCTGAGAATGCTGGAGAGTTTTGTTCAGACAGCGCCGTGGACCTTATCCAACACCTCCTGGTTGTTGATCCCCAAGAACGCTACTCGGCTGCCGACGTTCTGCAGCATCCCTATCTGACTGCCAACGTGAGTGGTGACCTTGCTGTACATGAATCAATTCGTGATCAGGTCGAGAGGAAAACCAATCAAATTTGTAACACCAGTGTGTTGCATACGTCTGACTCAAATACAGACATCCATGACGGAGTGTTCTGTACATCAATACCACGTACATCTTGTGATAGCACTGGATCCTTCGATTCCAGTTCAAGTGAACTGACGGGAAAGCACCAATATATGAAACAAAGCACGTTGGCAAATCGCACCTTAAGTTATTAACCTACTGGACAAAAACTAGACAGCGTTTCTTTGGGTTCCGTAAACACAGACCAACACTGGAAATCAGGCACGGAGTAGACAGTAAAATAACAAATATTCGGGGTGATAATCGCCGTCATTTATTTTCCTTGACTCTGCACAACGACTAAGTGAACCTCAAACATGACAGTAAAGTAATTCTAAAATCCAGATGAAGTTACATCGCTTGTTGTCAGTTCAGTGACTTTGGGGTTACCAGTGACCCCCAGTCTCGACGAACCCCCCCCCCCCTCTCTTACCCAAAAGGAGACATAGCAAAGACTGCTTTGATCTCTCCTGCTGACACTCTTGAATATTAACATGTTCCAATGCTCTTCGGCGTGATGCTCTTTCAACCCGGATGTGATGAACACTGTGTCTCTATGGGTCTTTCTTGTGATGACTGTGAGATCGTCTTGAACGGGGACATCTTTTGCTGGGGACTACAGCTTTCTCGAGAATATTAGAGAGTTGTGTTCAGACAGCGCCATGGATCTGAGCCAAAAACGTCCGGTTGTTGACCCCCAAGCGCGCTACTCGGCATCCGAAATCCTGCAGCCTCCCTTTCTGACCATCAACATGAGTAGTGAAGTCTGTGCGACGCTATCGTCTTCATTGATCGGTCATTGAAACTGAACATAATTCTAATCTCCAGGACTTGACCAAGCCAACGTGTTGCACTATTAAAGAACATACGCTATACTTTCTCTCTTGTCTGAGAGCTCACTACTTACAATTGTGGTTAACAGTTTCCTTAGCTGGAGCCTGCAAAGTTCTGGAAACATTTTGAAAAGATTGAACTACAGTGTGCTTCGATTTCTCGACTCTTTCAAATACTGGTTCTGATTCAAAGACATAAATAGCACCTGTTTTCATAACCCCAGTGTAATTTTTTCGACTGCTGACTTTGCAATACAGTTCCCAGCACAAAGTGTACCTCATAACATTATATGACACGGCCCAAGGGTCCTGTTTGCCACTATGACGCACTATTGATAAGAGAACACAATGGTACCTGAATGACTCACACTACCAAACTCACATTCAATTTTTTTTTTAAATAAGAAATTTGTGTTTATTTGAATGCTGCTTTTTATCGTTATTTAAATGCATTTGTTTGTCTGCGTGAATGTCAATTCCGCTTCCCTTTTCTCTCATTTGTTCTCCCAGTTGTCGACTCGTCTTTTCACTTACCATTTCAATGTTTTAATTTCTCTTAAACAAAGCCTCCCCCCCCCCTCCCAATTTGTCAGTCCTCATGTCTGTACCTGAAAGTGTGTCTCTCTGTAATAACTTCCTTTCATGATTTTACGTCTCTTTTGTCAGATCTCTCAGAGGGTCTCTCAGTCGTCAGTTTCTATACATTCCTGTGAGATGAATAAAGATTATCATTGTCATTTTTTGTTTGCTTTTGCTGTTGTCGGTGGCGATGGTCGTGATGGTGATGATGTTGTTGTTGTTGTTGTTGTTGTTGTTGTTGTTGTTGTTGTTGTGGTTGTTGTTTTTATTGTCTTTGTTGATGTTGTTGTTGTTGTTGTTGTTGTTGTTTTTGTTGATGGTGGTGGTGGTGGTGGTGGTGTATGTGTGTGTGTGTGTATGTGTGTGTGTGTATGTGTGTGTGTGTGTGTGTGTGTGTGTGTGTGTGTATGTGTGTGTGTGTGTATGTGTGTGTGTTCCACTTTCGCACCCATCATCGCCTGTTGCGTGGTGTTCTGAGAAACTCGTAATATTGGTCTTCTGCTTTGCTTAATTGGTGGCTTTTAAGTACAGGTGGGCTATCCTGAAAAAAATGCTGATTTCGATCAAATCGAAGGTAAAGCTTTTGCCCCTCTTTCAGTTTCTCTTTAAAGAATCAAAGAAATATACACACCAATGAAACCAAACTTCCCCTATAGGTAGGGCAATTCCTACTTCTGGTGTAGATCAAGATACCTAGAAACCCTCGAAATCTGGTTTAGCCCGCTTGCCCTTAAAAGCGGCCAGTTGATTCTTAACCCATTGACACCACGCCCCCCCCAAAAGAAAAACGTGTCCATCTGTCTGGTTGGGTGTAGCAGACGGTGTGGTTCCAGATCAGAGATAAAGGGTGAGGAAGGAGACTACAGAATCATAGTCACTTAAACAGTGTCTTCGTGATCTGCCCAAGTTGCTATCTCACTATTGTCGAAGGACTCCAGTAAGTTATACTTAGAACCTGCTTTCAAGAGCTTACAGGTAGTGTGCCGTAAAGGATTAGGAGGAGTAATCCTTTACATAAAGGAAAGTGTGCATCTGTGGTACTTTCTGTGCCTTCAAGGATTAGGAGGAGTTCAATGCTATGAACCTGTCATTGTTCCATCCTCGAAAAGATAGATGTGATCTTTGTGTGAGCTTTGAGGAGGGAAATGTGGAAGACTGGGGGGGCATTCAATCAACATCACTAGAGAGCTAAACATGCACAGGAAGAAAAGACAGCAGACGAAGAAAAAATGCATGAGCAGCACCAAAGTCAAATACATCACCCTGGACCTGCAATCAGTTCTGCTATGTCCACGCGCTAATGCATCTGCTGTGTACTATAAGACGAAATTGTGTATTACACAGGTTCGACAATAGTAGTAGTAGTAGTAGTAGTAGTAGTAGTAGTAGTAGTAGTAGTAGTAGTAGCAGTAGTAATAGTAGAAGTAGTAGTCTTAAGAAATATATTAAAATTTATATATTATATATAACTAGCTGGGTACCCGTTCAGTGAACGGACTCAAAAGAATCGATCGTCAAGTCATTCTGGAAACAATGCGCACTGCTTGTGAACGGAAGCCTCACTTGTTCACAATGGCGTCTTAGAAGACCGACTTTCCCAAGGTTAGATCTAAACGAAATTATTTTTTTTACCTGAAAATTAAACTACATGGATGCCAGACTCCTTAATATTACTGTGCACCCTTTAAATGATTCTGAACCACCGTTTTGCAGGGGGGGGGGGTAATTCGAAAGTTAAGTGGTTCGAAAGTTTTAGGCGACCAAAGTGACAAACTTTCTGAGAAAAAATTCAAATTGTATTAAAGATCAAGTGAGTTCAAAGAGATACGGATGGAGAGAGGGAAGCATATGCGTGGGAGAGAGATATCAAGATTTCAAAATGATCTCATTTATTTGAAAGGCCTTTGGCCCGTATTCAAATAGGGAGAATCTATACGCACGCATATGAGTGCCCAAAAACTCAAATTTTGCTATACGCACGAAACTGCGTGCAAGGTATCATAGTTTGTTATACGAACGAAATTGTGTGCAAGGTATCATAGTTTGCCAAACGCACGCAAATTGTGTGTACAGTCAAATCTGTGTAAAACGACTTCCAATTGTCAAGGAGAAAAGTGGCCGTATCAGGCAGGTGGTCGTATTAGGCAGGACTGGTCAAAATGAAGAAAGCACATCTGTTTCTTCTGAGGTCCAAACCGGGGCCGATCTCAGACTTTAGACTGTCGTAGGGCTAATACAAAAGGGTTTTTCTTTTCTTTTGAAAAAAAGAGAGGGTGGGGGTGTAAAATGTTGTTTTTTAGTTGCTTTGATTTCGTGAGGGGGGGTGGTAAGAAACGAAATATCATGTAAGTAAGACGATGAAGACCGAGTGCCGTGGTAAAACAAACATACGGGTCGCCAGCACTCGGAGAACGAGCAATGCTTCTGTTGCAAGTTCACGTCATCGTCAGTGGCTACTTTGTTACAGTAGGTTAACAAACTAGTGACCAGTCACCTCGCACACGATTTGTGCATGAGTTGTGGGCGGGGCTTTTGGGTTAAGACGGATCATGCTTCTCTCACCAGCTGTTGAACATTTATTGATAGGTCTACCCATTGGTCAACTTGGGTGAACATTCACTGGAGGGACTAACAATAACGACAGGTGAAAGGATTATGACGGCCCTTCCACAGCGTGAGGGCCCGATTCAAAATTTATGACAAAAGCATCGGGCAATGCGAGACCACGCCTGGCCGCCTGAGGCAAGAAAATTGGACAGCCGGTTGATAAAATAAGGTGCCCCTCCCCCCTAATCCTTTTTCCTTTCTTTTCCCTTTCGTTCTTTTTCGTGCGTGTTAATTTGTGTTATCTTTAACGAAGTGGCTAGCCGTACTTAGATCTAGGCTAGGCCCTACTGACCGAAACCTGTTGAGTACTCAGTTTTCATTAGATCTAGTAATTATTCGGTTTAAAATACATACATGACAGTAAGTGTAAGGCACCTTTTGGTTTCGTCTGAAATACAAATACTTCAGGTATTGCAAACTAAAATTGTGTTTACAATTCAGCCTTCATTATTAAGTACGGCTAGCCTGCTAGTCTAGCCGTCCTTATTTTAGGCCCTATTAGGTACCCGTTTAATACACAGCTCTCATTGGTAAATTTTTCCAGTTTAAAATACATGCACTGTCAGTAAGGCACCTGTTGGTTTCGCCTCAAATACAAATACTTTAGGAAATGCGAACTAAAACATCATGTACAATTCAGTCGGCCTATTTTTTGCTGTTTGTCAGTCTAGCCATCATTATCAAGTACGGCTAGCCTCTTCCTTTCTAGTTCCATAAATTTAGCCTGTACCGGTACCATTCTGTAGCTCCGAGAGTGAGAGAGAGAGGGAGAGAGAGAGAGAGAGAGAGAGAGAGAGAGAGAGAGAGAGAGAGAGAGAGAGAGAGAGAGAGAGAGTCTAGGGCCTGCAGCGATTTTGAGTTGTGCAAGTGCCGCCTGATTGGCCACGGTAACACAGGATGCCCACAAGCGCGAGCGGATCGGGTCGGGTAGGGTTGGGTCGTCGAGTCGGGTCGTTTTCTGGTGGTTTCAGTGCCCACTACAACCCCGCCGCGATTGTACTTGACGACCTGGACGTTAAAGTAGAGACACCTTTCACCTCAATGGCTTTCAGGGCTCCTTTCGGCATTTCCCTCTTGCAGTGCTGCTGCAGCCTAGAATCCCATAAACATGGGTTACAATAACTTTCTATTATCAAAGATCGTTTATAACAAAATAGTTTACACGGCCCAAAACGTGTCAGCGGAAGTCAGCGCATTGGTTCAGATGGTGCTGCAGTCTTTGTTTTGAAGCTCTCTTTCGTTTTTCCAGAAGAATAGGAATAGCACAGTTTGTTAGTTTTGCTTTAATTGTTTTTCACACAAATAGGATAACTTTGTTTGCAAAGCCCACACTTTTTCGAAGAGGGCACCACCAGATTTTGAGTGTCAACACGGACACGTGACTCAGCCTTGTTGTGATTGGCTACAAACAACCCGATCGCGCGATTCGCAGGCTTGAAAATAAACGCGTTTGTTTTTGCAGGTCTCCGACCGAGTCGATCGGTTGGTGCCACGATGGCCGCTTTGCGCCCTCAACTTGGCTAGCCCCGACTACCAAATTGACCCGACCCGACCCGATCGCGCTAGTGGGCACTCCCCGTATAACGACTGTGCTGGGGGCGTTGAATATCAATAGTGGTAGCGTTTACAATTTGCTACGTGTGGGTGGGGTTCCTTCATACATTATGTAGATCACAGAAAGAGGAGTTCCGCTGAGGGCCGGCACTTACCGTAACAACGTCCACGGAGCAAAACTATACTCGAGTTAGGGTTAAGGTTAGGGTTAGGGTTAGGGTTAGGGTTAGGGTTAAGGTTAGGGTTAGGGTTAGGGTTAGGGTTAGGGTTAGGGTTAGGGTTAGGGTTAGGGTTAGGGCAGGGGCGGCTCGTAGGGCTAAAAAGTGGACGTGCACAATTAAGCTATCACATGCTGCAGATGGTCAAGGGCATAGTAAATGAGACGGGGTGTAATTGTAGGATCTTTCGGTTGGTGAGGGAGGACCTCGTGCTACTATTTTCATTCTTTTTACTTGTCGCTTTGATTTCTAGTACTAAATTTGTTTGTTAGCAAGTAACAAATTTCACCACTTCAATACAAAACCATTCAAAGGCACAACTCATAGGACGGTCACGTTCACCTCCCTCAGGTTCACGGTCACAGAGTCACTTAAAATAGTTTCAAGGCAGACAATGAACCAATCACAATTCACTTGAGCACTCAACTGGATTGCTCCGGGGTTCACATAATTTTTGCAAAGAATAGCGTCCGGTCTATCGCATTTATTTTTAGACTGCCTACTGTGGGCTATGTTTCGGCACTGTCCGACAGGAGCACATTTGAGATGTGCCGTCTTATTAATATTAATGTACCGCCAAACTCGCTACGAGTGTCGTCATCGCTTGGGTTGTCCCCAAGAGCGATTTATAGGTCAGATTACACTGTTGAATATCCTATTATGTTTAGCTAAAGCGCGTGGACTTTGGCATGGCATAGTAGATGTTTTACGGCGCTATAGACACAGAAATGACAGTTATAGCGCCAGTGAGGACCTTGTTTTGATATAGAATTTAATATTTTGATAGTGTTTGTTTCTGGCTTATTTTATTTTATTAATATGGGTGTTTTATGTAATAGAACATTAAAAAAATTTGGGCGGCACTGCACGACCGTGCTCTATGGACGAACAGCGCCTGGGTTAGGGTTAGGGCATATCCCCCTCAAAATATCCCCTCTTTTGTAAGTTGTTGGTCGACCGGCCTTTGGCGGAACTCCTTCCGTCACACAATTTTGCGGCAGTAAAGATTCTGATCGACAAGTAAGTCGCGACAGCAAGTGATCAGTTGGGACTATTACTCCCCCACCCATCCCAACCGACAAAACTACAATAACAAGAACAGTATTAATTTCATGGTAATTGACAGTCCCAGCTTGTATAAACGCTGGTTCTAGTTACAAGTCCTCCCTCAATACTCAGTTGACCGGCTAGGCAGTTAACCCAGCCAGAAACATTTCAGTAGACCTTCATCTAAACCAGCACCGATCTTTCTCCGTCACATAGGACAAACGCATAATGTGAACAGCTGCGAGAGCCACTGAAATGGTTCTCGTAAAATCCTCTTGTTTGTTTGGGCTCAGTGAGCCTCATCAGCCCTGACTGCTAATGTCAACGAGGTATACGCCCCCAAAAGTAGACAGGCTAGAACACCAGTCCTTGCAACAAGTCACCAGTGGCAGGGACCGCCCCCGACCTGACACTGAGCCTTTTTAATACCTGAGGCTTATTATACATTTGATTTTCAATAATTGAAGATAAAGATTTTAGGAAGGCATTATTGGGATCAACTCCCCGTAATCTCAACTGGTTATTGGAAGTCGACTGCCCATTTAATCAGTTGATATTATTGGGAGTCACAAAACGCAATTGTTTTTGTTTTTTTTAACTTGAAAGGTTTTTTCGAGGTTCCTTCGCACAAATACAGAAGCTGATTCGAACGGCTTTTTAAAAAAGTAACATTCTGAGTCCAGTCTACCTCATTTGCATAAAAGGAAGGACTTTCGTAGTTTGAGTTTGAGTTGCCACTATGGACAATCGCGGCTTCTTCCTTACCGTTCTTCCTTTGTTCAGTTTTGTTTTGTGCGCACGTGTCAGGGTAAGGGATTAAGAGAAGAAAAAAAAAGGAACAATTTCATTTCACACGTGTTTTTAGAAGGAAAAAAAAAAAAGGAAAACAAAAACCTAACCCAAAAGCTTCCCTTATTCAGAGGAGCAAGCCACTCTCCCTAAAAAAAGAAAGACTCCGACCGATCACGCGGGCACGCCCCCACCCAACCCCTAACTCTACCCCTAAACCCTGACCGAACCCTAACCCTACCCCCAACCTAACCCTAACGTTACCCCCTACCCCTACCCCTACCCCTACCCCTACCCCTACAAATGCGCAAACCACCGTATTTTTGTTTTGTTTTTGTAAAGTGTTTTACGGCGCTCGCAACTGCATAGGGACACACCTAATATTTTGAGTTGGTAGGAAATTTTGAATTTTGCCCGGGTGGCGGCCGAATCCTACTCTTATCGATTTTAGACCACCAAGGGATCTTTAACGTGCACAACTTGCACACGGGCTCTCCGAGATTTTTCGCCCTTGTGCGAGAAGGCTAGGTGTAGATCTTTCCTACCAGAAGATCAGGGGTGTGGCAGAAAGACAGCAGTAAGGAGGAGCTAAGGAGTAGCAGTAGAAAGGCTGCAGAAAGAGTCAGGAGCCCAGAGGAGGGGGCAAAGGAGGTGAGGGGGCAGGGGCAGAAAGTGGAAATGAAAGCAGACAACAGAACATTGCTAGAGAGCATGAAAGGAGGTGAAAGGGGACAATTTTTAGAGAAGAAAATTTTCGGTCGCTACCTGGATTCGAACCCGGGACCTTTG